GTAGCAGCTACCATTCTTGTTCCTTAAAAGAGGTCCAACTTCGCGTAGAACCGTCTCGTTCGTCATGGCATTAAAGTCTGGATGATCAAGGATACACTCAACATTCTTGCCAATCCAAGTAAATTTCCCACTTGCTTCTACGATCTCTTTGCAGCAACGATACTCACGAGCACTAATCAGCACAGTTGCCACACGAACACCTACAACAGTATCAAATAATACGGCAAAGGTCAGGTAAAATCCGCATTAAAATCATAACAGGGTGGATTTGTAATATTTTGAGAACTTACCAATTAGCTAAAGGAATAACCTTTTCGAAACGCTTCTCCAAAACCGAGGGTAAAATAAAATCTTCGTCCTGTTCTTCATCAGAAGACTGACTATCGTCTGTGCTCGCCAATGGTTCTCCTTGGTACGGTTCTAAACAGCTCTTTACGTGTGGATTTTCCTCTAAATCGCTCTCAGTTAAGCTGTCACACTCTAAGCTAGAGTAACTTAACGAATCGTCGCTCTGCGACATAACAAACGAGTAGAAATCTTGATAAAAAAAACGTTAAAATACGTCAATACAAGCAGCTTCTTTCACTCTTTGTAAGAAAATATAAATATGTGTGTACAACCAGTGACGTCACGCGCTGTGTTCACTCGGGTCCAGACCCCAGGACAATAAAATAGTTAAATTACTGACTTTCGTGGCTTTAAAAATCGACTTTAAAAAATCGCGGGGCAAAAATAAACTAGCGGATGATATTCAGCATAGTTTAAACTATAAAATGAGTACAATTGTGAAAAAAACTTTCAGCCATTTCATAAACACTTTAATACCAAGCCACAAGGATATACTTCGGTGCTAGGATCCATCTCTTCTCTCATACACCCCCGTTTTTCCATGATCAAATTTCTTTTGCAAAATTTCAGGTACTTTCCACACATCACTATTAACAAATTTTTCCGCATGCATGTCCATTCCCCTCTTCCAATGAAACACATCATAAACTTTTGAGGCTGTGACCCTGCATTTCCTTTCTTTAAACCAAAGTGAACTTTGTGACTGTAACTGTGTAGTCTGCTCCAGTATAACTGCCTGTTCATTTGTCACTTCAAGTTTATCGAAAACTGCTTTTTGAGAAGAATCAAGAGTTGAAAGGTCGTGGTGATAGTACTGGCGGATATTACGGTGAAGAAAGTTTGGGTAAGTAGTAGGAGTAGTGGCTGGATTTGAAGGGCATTTGTCAATATTTATATACACATTAAAGTTATTGCCCAGCTTACTACATTGATAAGCAAGAGGAGAGAATATGGGTACTTTTCCAAATTTCGTCTCGCACCATGCATCAGATGAAACCGAACTTCGCACACCATCCACCATTGGAATCTTTGGATTATCTTTTTTTAGATTTTCTTTCATTTCAAAAATTGCATTTGCATCAAATGTTTGTTGCTCAGAAGATCTTGCCTCATAAAGGTTGCATTTTACACCAGTATTTTTTCCCAATTTAGGTTTCTTAATGATAGTCTCCATCACGGTCTCTTTCCGTACGTTCATACTTCTCACCTTTGGGACTGTCCAACCACAGGGTCTTGATGTACATGGAAGCTGCAATGGAATTTCGTCTAATTTGTCGAGTACGAATTGTGCTATTAACTTGAGGAGGGCATAAATGTGATTACAAAAGCCTCCTTGTCCGGCTTTACATGTACAGTGTGCATATAAAATTTGTGCACTTATTTTTGACAAGGCGCAACTTAGTTGGTGGTACTGGCTCTTAGTGTAGGAAGCACAGCAGATTGCTCTAACATAAGAGTGGTTGGTGTCATGCGAGCATGATACACTATCCAAGAAATTTTGATAGAGAAGATTGTCCGCTCTTTTTTGGGTCTTTCCAGTTTTGCCTGATTCTTCAAAAAATTGTTCAATTTCCTTGATGGTCAATGTTGGGAGGTTCAGAAGAGATTTCGACCATTCCAAATTCGTACTTTTCCAATAATTATCTAAATTAATAGAAAAACAGTAGAATTTAATTTTGGCACGATCACATCATAACATATAGACAGAGACTGCCAGAGAGGATATATTATCACATAATCAAGCATTAAAACTGATATCACCTTGTCACTCATATGATATTACCTATATACACACATATACAACACAGTACGGCACAATGCACATGCAATGCAATGCAATATTACATGTAATGACAATTAGACAATGACAATTTTACCTTTCAGACACAAATTTGAATTTGTGACAGTATTTGTGTTTTGGGCTTTGTCCTGTTGCAATTCCTTTCCCTGCACATATATTTCATTAGCAGTAGGATCAGCCAGGTTATCTTGCTGACCATTTCTAACATAGTTATTGATTCTACAGATAAGAAAACATATTTTATAGATATTGTGCTTCTTGAATAAAAATATAAACTAAGCAAAACTCAAATTTATATATTACCATGTACCTTTGAATACAGGCAGCTTTGGTATGTAGATTTTTTAATGAATCTCCGCGACAAGAAAGCCAAAATTTTAATTGATCCACACGATACGAAGTCAGGCGAGACAAGTTTAAGTTACTGCCAGGAATATCGTCTAAGAGAAGGTATCTGCTCTCATTCCCTACACATTTAAAAAAAGATATTCAAAATGTTGTGTAAAAGACAAATAAACAGATATTATTATTATGGGTATCATGTGGAACCAGGCATGTTGTTTAGCCTTCAATGGCCCTTCGGCTTCAAATTTTCCTTGTTGACGACGTCTGTATAAAAAACAACGAAAATAAACCAACAAATCCATGAGATATTTCATCTGTATCGCACAAACTAAGATTTCCTTTTATATTTAAACTGTTGTAATAAAAATATTGCCATTTTTGTAAAGTAAATTGTGATGTAAAATAGTTTTTAAAACAGATCAAGAATGGCGGTGAAATGACCGTGACCTTTGTAATTATGTTGCAAAAAATGTAAATATTTACCCCGGAAATTGGACAATTTTGCGCCGGAAATTGGGTTTAAATGGACACACGTGTTTCAAAGAAACTAACTTAGGTGGAGAAAAACGGAGATAAACTTTATAAAAAATTATTGTGCAAGAAATATTTTGCTTACCTGAGTTTGCTTCGATGTTTTCCATGATATTTCCACCGGCCCGCGCCGTCAAAATGATTAAAAACACCCCACGAAAACGCGTAAATTGAAGAGAAAACTACCTATGCTAACAACTATGATAATAATTTATTTGACTAAGCTAAAAAAGTATCCGGAAACTTGTTAAAACAAGAGAAAAACGCTGTAAAACTCGGCGACTCACTTTTTGACTTTCGGACAAAGCGAACAATGGATTTATTGTTTTTGCATAATAAGCCTCGTTTTCATGTATTGCGAAGGCGCGGTTACTAAGTTTCGCAATAGGTCTATATCTCCCAGAAAAGCTCAGATATATTATACAGATGATTGGTGGTATAGTAAGTGCTTGTTGACTGCAAATTCGTTTGTCTTTCGTTGCAAACTTTTCTGAACAATTTATATTCTCAATGAACATTTTTTTTCGCTGTTGTTTCCGTATTAATTCTTTAAAAACTTGTATTTAATCTGATTTCTATGTAATAAATGTATTTTGCTAACCTGTCAAACTTTTTTGGGAGTTTTTCCTTGTACTATATTATCTTTCTCAAAGCGAATATTTTCCTTTTTTCTGCTTCGCAAAACTAGTAGTTTTTGGACCGCCATCTTGTTTTTCGCTATACTCGCCGTATATGAGCTGATATACGGCGAGTAATACAACCAATCCGATTCCAGAACAGCTCATATACGATGAATGACTATAAATACACTATATCCATTAAAAGTTTCAATAAATTCATTACTGTAGTTATGTGCTTTCTGTATCCAAGGGCCCACAGTAATTGGTTTTATGCTGTTGTGGTGTCCCCGCCTTTTTGTTGTTGTCAACTTTATGTTGTTGCATGTTACCTTTTTGTCCAACCTTGAAATGTGGGAGGCTCGGCGTATTTACCGCGTTTCGATAAGTTTTGTCTATAGGTCATGCCAAGTTTTTAAGCAATTTCCGTATTTTCCAGTGTTGGGCTCATAAAATTCACGCATATTAATTAAAATGAATGTGTATGATTTTAAAATTAAACCGTCCTAGGCTTAATTTTACAATCATGTACGTTGCGTTGAAGTTTGCGCGTTTTGGGGTTGGACAGAAATGGTTGGGTGTACTGTTGTTTGATTGTGTAATTATAGGCGAAGCTAAATAAATAAATAAATAAATAAATAAATAAAATTATATCGTGATGCTCAGGTATATTCCGGAAAATGTCGTGATATTCCATGATATTCCGCCATATTCCGTGATATTCCGCCTTATTTTTCACCCTGCTCGGTTTCCTTTGTTCTAGTTTGTCGGGGAATATATTCAATATTCCCCTCTAATCAATTTCCGTTTAAATTAATAATCCCCTATAATATTCATCTGCAATGTCTTTGCAGCACAAAAAATGAGTATAAACAACATAGCGAAAGCAATATGGCATTAAGAATTATTTCTATCCTGACTCATTAACGCGACCTCGCAATGTGAAAAATAAGTACGTTATTTTGAGGCACCTCAGGAATATGTGTTTATTCACCTCGGCGCACAGGCGGCCCAATCTCAGAATGAATGATCAGGTGTTGCGGGTTTTTAACGGTTTTTATAAACAAATTTATAGTCAACCAAAACTATTTTAAAAACATTCTTAAATTAGTCAAATAAATACATTTTAACAATAAAATATAGTTGACATGATAGTATAATACTATTAAATTCTTTTAATTAATCCATGAGCTCGTTTAGAGCGGCTGATGTAACATTTTCTGTGGCCTACATTGTGTGTTCTCATATATATATAATATAACAGTAAAAGGCTAATTACTGGCGGCACGACCGCATCACCTTCAAAGTCAAATATCTCCGCTCAAATTTGTCGTACGCCAAAACAAATTCGATTACATCTTTTCACAAAGATTTCTCTTTCTAAATAATATGGTTTGATCGTAGCTTGGGCAAATTTAGCGACGAACGGAACCAAAATTTCCTCAATTTCGGATACTGTTCAAAATACTTAGGGCTGCTCGGGCACGATCGTGGACGTGACGTAATCAATACATACTGACAATAACGCCTTATACCTGGGGTGAGACAGCATATCAAATTCGACGATAGTTTGACGCTTTATGCTGTCCCACCCCACGTAAGCCGGTAAGGGGTTATTATCAGTATGTATTGATTACGTCACGTCCACGATCGTGCCCAAGGAGCCCTAAGTATTTTGAACAGTATCCGAAATTGAGGAGATTTTGGTTCCGTTCGTCGCTAAATTTGCCCAAGCTACGATCAAACCATATTATTTAGAAAAAGAAATCTTTGTGAAAAGATGTAATCGAATTTGTTTTGGCGTACGACAAATTTGAGCGGAGATATTTGACTTTGAAGGCGATGCGGTCGTGCCGCCAGTGATTAGCCTTTTACTGTTATATTATATATAGATGAGCACACACAATGTAGGCCACAGAAAATGTTACATCAGCCGCTCTAAAGAGCTCATGGATTAATTAAAAGAATGTAAAGGTATTATACTATCATGTCAACTATATTCTATTGTTAAAATGTATTTATTTGACTAATTTAAGAATGTTTTTAAAATAGTTTTGGTTGACTATAAATTTGTTTATAAAAACCGTTAAAGTGCATATGACACAAAACTATTTTCAATATATTTTCAGAGTATAATATCTCTAAAGTAGAAATTCAAAATTTTAGAGGATTTCAATGAAAACCAACAATTTTATAGCAGTTTGAATGTTCCCCATTTTCCCAAGAAAAATGGCATTCGAGTCGCGCGGCCAAAATACCACGTGATGTTGCTAGTGACGTCACTTTGGTTGCAAAGTGAGCAATAAAGATGGCTGAAAGCAGCAAAAATAAGCGAGGAGGAAGATTTTGTGTTGCTGGGGCACCTAATCAGCAAAGTTGTAAAAATACCAGTTTTACACCGGGTATAACTATGCATCAGTTTCCTTCTGATGCAAGTTTAAGAGAGAAATGGGTGAAATTTGTCCAGAGACATCGACATGATTTTCGAGAGCCAAGCAAGTGCGCTTCATTGTGTTTCACACATTTCGAAGACTCATGCTACACAAGACGCTTGGCACCACAGCTTGAAGAAATGTCCACTGTCAAGTTGAATAGAGTGTTAATCAAAGGATCTATTCTGACCAGGGATACAACTGACATTGCCACTCCAAATATACTTTCTCAACGAGGAAAACGGCAGGTACGTACGTGTACAACTTTATAATACAATTTTAATAGTTCTGTTGTGTACTACAAAATGGACTATTACTGTATTAAAATAGACAATACTCTATGGGGATATATTTGTAGTACAGTATTTTGTAATAATTGTAGTCGATTGGTCTGTAAAAGTTTTTCTGGCCACCGGCAAGCCAAACTCCTACTATATGAGAAATGTAACTCGGTATATAAGAAACATATAAAATACCACAATAATGATTAAAATTTTCATTATTAAATATTATATAGATGAGACGCGAAGTAATGGCTGAAATTAATGACATGCCCGACACTAAACGTGTTAAAACAAGCCTTGGTGATCCAGCTTTGCCTGTAAGAGATTCCCACCACCATTCTGATTCTGCCAGCATGTCAACAGCTATAGAACATTCAACAACCTCTTGTGATACCCTTGACTACATAAATGATCAAGATTTAGTTTCCAAACCAGTGACCTACATTCAACAAACAACCGAAGCAAGTTCTAATATAATTAATGAGACAGGCCCACAAAGCAAAGAGACAAGCTGTTGTAACCATTATAAGTCTAAGTTGCAGAATAGTCAGCGATCCAATTACTACCGTCTTAAGAGGAGAGTAAGTGAACTAAAGGACTGTGTGAAAGAACTACAAATAGTAAGTATACTGACTCATCATTCACAATCAGTCGTTATTTGAAGAAGAACCTCATAAGGGAATAACCTCATAATCACATGATGGGGAAATACTGTTATGTACTCATGCAGCCTGCAGCCATGTACCAGTATATTGGGATTTCATAGGCTCTTTTTTCTAATGTAGTGTCAGAATGCCAAGAACAGTGTAATTAAAAAGCTAATGACTTTGTTTTATTTTGTATAGCAAGTACCTCCTACTGAGTATGATAGTGATAGTGATGTATGCAGTGATGATGAAGATGAGTCCTGTTGTGAAAGTGAACCAGCCAACACTGGGAAAGAAAGTGAACATGAACCATCATCAGACTATTATGTCTGGCCCAGTTGTGGCAATGAATCAAGTGATGATGATGGTGACTGGACACCACACATTGAATCTGAAGATAGTGAAACTAATGACGAAATGAATCAAAATTCATTTAGTGACATGAAGTAAGCTGTATTATTTAGTAGCATTATTTTATGATATGTATAGACCCATTGCACTGATGTCACAAATCCTTAGAGTGTCCTCCAGATGCTCCCTAACAATATCTGTTCGGGTACAACAACCACATACAGCGCAAACATTAACCATTTTAATACAAAACAAGACGCTCTCCCGAGCGTTAAGTTGCTGGGGCTTTTTAAATAGGCGCCTGCGTGATTTGCAACGAGCGGTAAGAGTATATTCAACGATTTGTGGGCTTGATTTGTAATTGTACATAAGTTTATTAAATAGTGACACGTTGCGACATAATGTATACAGCAAATTTAATTAACTAAGGGACGGACCAATAGAAAAGTGATGGGGGGGGGGATTTTCTAAGAGGCAATATTTTTATTTTGTACACCTATAGAAATTTTTTTTTCTCACTTGATGGCTGGAAATATATTTTTTTTATTAAAATTTATAGGCCTATCTTCCAAGAAAGGAGGATATTTCAGGATAAATACAGATTTGTGTATTTTTATTTTAACTTGTTTATAACAAATTTTAAAACACAAAAATTGTTTATCAGACAGTTAAGGACTAAGGAGTCGTTTGTGAATTAACCCATTGATTGACAGCACTCTCTCCCTGATGAGTAAATTCCTTGGCATTAGACACAGTAAAATAATAAAGTAGGTCACATGAGGGTACATTGCCACTTAAAGGGTTATATGATATGGACAGTCGCATATATTGGATTATTGGTGCGGAATTTAGCTTTTTGCACCTAACTGATGCATGCGATAGACAGTGGTTATATTTCACCCCAGGGCCGTAGCAACCAGAGGGGGGCTGTTTGAAATTGTAAATTTCGACATACTAAAATGCTGTTTTCTGACCATCGGAATTCTGTCAAATCTTTCCCAAAGTTCAGGAAATGGCATTTCAGAGACTCTAAATTTAAAATTTTCCTCAGGCCTTTGGCCATTGCTTTCATTTCCCCAATCAAAAAGAGCTTCCCACAGCACTGCACTCCCTGAGCTATTGGCATTAAAATTTTACATAACTTTATATTAGCAGTCAGTGGTGTAGAACTGAATCGCTAATAAAGAGGGCCCTCAAAGAGGGGGGGATGACAAGACGTGTGGTAACCAGGCATTGAGAGTGCAACATGGTAAATATGGATAGTTCCAGTATTCACTTTTGGTTCTAGCAATTCGTCAATTGGTGATTTTTAACTAAAGGGCTTAACATCAAATAATACACTCCAAAATATTGAAGCTATTACATGTTAGAGCCACATAAATATCATCAAATTGTTAGATCATAGTAAGGTACAGATTACTGATAGATTATAAATTTTTCAATCTGCAAAAATATTGCGAGGTTAATCTTCACAAATTGACATGATATTTTTAACAAGGGGACCCCTGTTTGCAATCTATTAAATAAGCAAATGAGTTGCAAGTAAAAATCATATGATACATGATGCAGTTTACAACATGAACAAGTGAGTTTTTAAGCTAATAGTTCAGTCCTATAACCAGAATAATAATTGGACCTTATGCAATGTTAACATAATACAGCCAATGGCTGCAAGGTTTATCAATTAAAAACATCTATCTATCTAAGAAATACCAATCCAAGATTGTGTGTCACGTACCTCGTGTGTCACTTCAAAACAGCCAACATTTGAGCCTTCTTGAAAATAGAGCTAGCATGCAAATATGACAGTTCCAATACATGTAAACAAATACGACTATAAGCCATATTAAAGCGTATATAGATGTAAAACTTCACAAAACAAAAATATAAACGTTCAGAAATAACGGTTCGACGAATAAATAACACAGTTATTGTCAGTTAATCCACCTCGGAATCTACTCCACTCCTCGATAGTGAAACGTCGACATAATTCTGTATATTCTTGATGGATTTCTTTCAAAAAGCCCCCAGAAGAAAAAGCGTGATTGAAAGAACAATTTGACGTTTACTTTATGCACTTACGAAGACTTTAAGACCGTTAAAATAGCGAAAATGTATGCACGTATTGCTTCGTATATAGATCAGTGGGAATTTCCATTTTGCGACTATCCATGGAGAAGGAGAAGGAGAAGGAGACCAATTTCACCCGAAACCTATAGTTGCTGGCACAGGTGCCCCAGCAACTAATTATTATATAGTTTTACAAAATTTGCTTTGTTTACAAAAGTAATATTATGCATAGATTGCTAATTTGTCCTCCAGATGCATTGTTACCGGCGCAGTGACGTCATGTGCAATGGGTCTATTCAGAAATAATAACATATGACTGGTTCAGATGTTGTTAGATTTACTTACCCTTCAATCAGGGCCGTTTACTGGTTGGGGGGTGGGGGGAGTTTGGGGTGCGACAATGCCCCCTCCCCCAATATTGTCATATTCCAGTTTTTCAGATAATTCTAACAACATGCTCATCGGGCCAAAAATATGTAATTCAGCAAAAAAAAATTGAAAAGTAATAATTGTACAGGTTAGTGAAAAATGATGTCCAAAAAAAATTTTTTTGCTTTAACTGCAAAGAACCAAAGCCGATTGTTCACATGAAGAGGAATGGAACAATGGTTGTAGTTAAACAGACATGCAGCAAGTATATCTTTGGGTATGAGTGGTATTCGCAACCAATAATTTTGGACAAATACGCTGCTGCAAACCTCCTATTGAGTTTTGCTATTTTTATGGCTGGTGCCTCAGTTAGTAAAATCCTTTTGGTGTTCAGACATATGGGTCTATGTGCATACACAGCACGTTCATTCTTTCGTCATCAAAGCAAACTCGTTGTTCCAACAATTTTACATTACTGGGAAGCTTATCAAGCTAAACTTATCAAGGGACTGAAGGCTACAAAGGATGTTGTTTGGTGTGGTGATCGGCGGTTTGACTCCATGGGTCACTCCGCCAAATATGGAGTCTACACAATGTTATTACCAACAATTATGAAAATTGTCCATTTTAAACTTGTTCAGGTAGGCAGAATTTACATAAGCTTTTATGGTTAGAAACTTAGAACACGGTGCACAAATGTTGACATTGATATGCTTCATTTCAACAGGCTAAATCAGCACAGTGTAATACACAAAACAATTCCAATACAACCCACTTAAAAGCTTTTTTAGATAGTGTATGAGAGGACCATTTTTTGCCAGATATTGTAAGACCTATCTCCATGATACAATATAAAACTTGCTATATTTGAGTAAATAAATAATTTGATCTTTTTTTAGGCCAATAAAACTGGCGGTAGTACTCAGACTGAATTGGAGGGATTTAAGCGGTGCTTTAATTACCTTGAAAAGGCAGGCTTGACAATCAAAACTTTTATCTCAGGCCGACACAAAGGTATTGCAAAGTGGGTTAGAGAACAACGCAAAGGAACAAAACATTTCTACGATATTTGGCATGTGGCCAAATCAATCACAAAGTAGCTTCTAAAGGTCAGCAAGGAAGCAGGATGTGAGGTTATATCAAATTGGATAAAGGGTGTTCGGCGCCACTTGTTTTGGTGTGCTACATCAACCAAGGCTGGTTTTAGTAGCCTAGTTGTGGCCATATGGATGTCCTTCCTTCGTCATTTGTCCAATACTCACACTGATCACCCTGACCCTCTGTATAAGACTTGCAACCATGGAGAGATTAAACAGCGATTGTGGATCAAAAGAGGTTAGTACGGTATATGCATGTCATTAACTTCAAATATTAACCCATTGAGTGGCAGCACTTTCCCCCTGACGAGTAAAATAATAAAGTGGGGTGCATCTGGGCACATTGCCACTTAATTTAAAGGGTTAATCAACCTGTATTTCATCACTGACTACCTTATGCTAGTTTGTTATGCACATCATTGCAGATTACGCATTATTCTGCATATAGTACTATTGTATCTAGTAAAAGAGGCACTTTAAAATGCATTGCCCGGGATGGATGGGTGAATGCCCAGTGCAAAGAAAGCTTTAAGGAGTTTAAGGGTATACAATTTATAAATACTTACTGTATACAGTAAATTAAAATTAATATCTTATTTACAATTTTCAGGCACTGCTGCTCATGACAGACTAGAAACCACTCTTACAAAGAAAGTTCTATTGAATGACATAAGAATGCTGTCTCCAGATGCCCAGACAAGTGCAGTAGAAGGTTTTCATGCCACGTTAAACTTCTGGCACCCTAAGATGCTCCACTTTTCTTGGTTAGGTACTACATGCAGGTACATACAGTAATTTGATTCCTTTGAAATTGATATTAAAAATCTAATGTGTACAGTGCAAGCTGTAATTATTGATAACTTATCATTTCTATGGCAAATAGGCACATTCTGGCAAGTCTCCACTTTAATGAAAATGTCAGTAGGGAAACCAAAAAATCTATAAGTGGATCAAAGTACTACAGAGTAACATATCCAAAGTTTAAGCTTGGTGATGAGGTTGTAAGAGAAGTTCCAGTTTCACCGACTTATGGTAAGAGTAACACCTTTTGGAAGGGAGTTTTAATGAAGTTTAGAAATGGTGAAATAATTTTAGTCATACTAGTTTCATTAGCAACATTAGTGCTAGTGTATATTTGCTTGAACTCCAAGTTCTTATTGTATTTTTCAGGTAGACTGATGCAACTTCACTGCAGTATCTTCAATATTGGCTGGCACTAATGTGACATTTTTCTTATTTATAGGATATGTTGACTCCATGAAAGAACTCTTGTTTTCTTTAAGTCGTGAAGAAATGAAAACTATATTATCAAAGTATATCAAGAAAACTCCAAAGCCTCTCAACTTCCAGTTTTCTGAGAAACTATCCAAATCAGAGGCAGTCAAGAAATTTCAAGCTAAACAACAAAGAAACAACACCCCCCTTTTTCCACCAGGTGCAGTGCTAATGTGCAGTACGTATTTTGTAGTTCTATTCCTGAAATATCAATAACCTCAACTGGCAGTACCCTGCTCACTGACAAGTAATATCATCTGGATTTAGGTAGCAGAGTAACAAACTAAAGTAGGGTGCATTTAAGTGCACTTCCAGCTATTGGTTTAACTCTTTAATTAAGTGGCAATGTGCCCAGATGCACCCTACTTTATTAATTTACTGTCTAACGCCACATGATTTTACTCATCAGGGGGAGAGTGCTACCACTCAATGGGTTAAAGACGATCATTGAAATTGAAATCTACAGTATAAAATAATTCATACAAAAAGTATCCTGCCCATGAAGAACTCCTGGTTAGAAATTGGGAAGTTGAACACTTACCTTCACACACCTTTATTAATACTCAGGCAGGGAGGCAGGGTGCTACTCTACTTGCCACACCCCTCTATGGTATAATTTTTTCTTCATGGGAAAAGTATATTTTTTTACATTGGAAATGTGTTTGATAGTAGTGTCTTAACCTATTCTGTCTTAATGTTTTAATATTTTTTTGTTACAGTGGTTGACCAAGACATCTTGCTCGAAACAATGGTTGAGAGCCACACAAAGTACCAAGAGCAATGTCAGGAAGACTCCCATGTGTAGAAAATGCAAGCAACCAATGAAGGGACATTCTAAAGCAAAGTGTAAAGCCAATTAACACTTAATTTGTTTATGTTACGACATGAAACCACTAGTACTTCTATAGGCACTAGCTTACCATTTATAATACAGCACATGGGAGGACTGATGAGATAAGCAGTTAAGGAAATTTCAAAATCAAATGAAATACTCACAAAACTGACCAGTGGTCAAGATATTTTAACTGCATGAGTACGCGTTTGGTTTGGCAAATTGTCCAAGGGCTTGGAAATTCTACTGAGTACTGTACATGTCTATTAATACATTTCATATTAATGTTTAATACAAAAAAAGTCAAGTCTGTAACGCTGCGAGTTGAACATTATAATATAGTCATTCTCTATTTCATAGCAGCTAGACAACCTTGTAAGATTTTAAAGTATATGTACATTATTTTCGAATTATTGTATATTTGTATTTGTTGATTAAAATACCTTGGTATTCGCAGAGTTTACAATACAAGCTGTTCCAAAAATAGAAATGAAATAAACAAGTTTCGCAATGTCATGCGACCTTATGCGACTCCAGCAAAACACGAAATAAAGCACATTTTCAATAAAACTCAGAAGGCGTTTAATTCCAGAAACGTTCATGAAATCTATTTGATAAAACTATATAAATGTTGCTATATAAAAAGGCCAAGTGGAACAATCAGTCATTACAAATACAAACTGTCCAATTCAACTGACACTGTAGCCTTTTGCTTCTCGATGTCTTGTTTGGTATTTCGTCCTTATATGTCCATATATACAAGCTGGCAACGGTCTTCTGTTATCCCATCCCATGTACCCACAAAGCCATCTCACAATCCACTTGTAAGCAACTGATCGAATAAACCTTGAAATAATCGGGGAAATATTAAAGTAAGGCCTTCTTTTGAACCCGTGTTCCATACTATAAAAATGCGTTTGTGTTTTGTAAAATGTCAGTTTAATGTCGCGCGAACTAAAAATAACAAATGTAAACAAAAGAAATTTTAAACTAATCCGAATATACCTGCCAGAGGATATTAAATCGAAATGATGTTTTATCAATGACTATCGCTAAAATATCTTGAGTATAATTCATAACTGTATAAGTTAAGTCTACAAAGTTTATAATCTTGATATCGAAATACACGAGTTTGAATGTTTGACAATATAAAACACCTTAGAATTTCTATTTAAAAAATCGAATAAAGACTTCGCCAAAAAGCCTTGCGTCTTATAGGATATTTTTTGGACTAATCGAGTAATTTTGAAAACGGGTGTAGACTTTACACATAACTGAATGACACAACATATTATTAAAATAAAAAGTTACTCACTCCTTTTCTGAGATTCCTGCACGACGGCAATAAGTTCTTCCATACTTGTTTTTTATCAATGGTGCCACTTGCAATAATACTGCTTTGTTTGAAATTGCACCATAGTCTTCATGTTCTGTTATACATTTGATGTTTTCAATGGAGCCATCAAAAGCCATTTTCCCTAAGGTGGATACTCTCTACAGCAGCGCCACTCTTTCGCTCCAGCAAGGTTTTCGGCGAGGCAGTGCGCACACTTACACCTTGTAAATAAACACGGATATATTAACTTATAAATAATCACGACTGAATTCCAAACATTTAGTTTTCGAAATTTCTTTTTACTAGTAAAAATCCACTTACCAAGAGTTAAGAGGAATATTGCCGTCTTGGCGAGCTGCCAGTGTTTCAGGTGTCAACCCGTCCAAATCTTTTTCACCTTCGTGTTTGCTTTCGCCAATGCTACTAATATCGGAACTGTCTACAATCGGCTCGTCCTGATACGGAAGGTATTCACTGTAAACAACTAAAGTGTCTTCTTCATCGTCGTTTGATGACTGGACCGATGCAGACTCGCCGCTTTTTATTGCAAATTGTCAAAATTGCTTTCGTCGTGCGACGACGGACATGTTTTTAATACTTAAAAAATAAGCCTTTGTAAGATTTTGCAACCAAAATGACGTCACGATACATACAAATTAGTCCCCAGACCCCGGACAAATATTTAACCATAATTTACTCTGTTTGTGCTTAAAATTTAGGCACCTAATTATTTTTTGGCCTGTTTTACATTTATGAATGTTTATATAACATATTAATCTACCAAAAAAAGCAAAAATCTCGTTTGTGTCATATGCACTTTAAAAACCCGCAACACCTGATCATTCATTCTGAGATTGGGCCCTGATCATTCATTCTGAGATTGGGCACAGGCTCGGCGCTGCGCGCCTCGGTGAATAAATCACATATCCCCTAACCTCGTTGCCTCAAAATAACCTATACATATTCCATGATATTCCAGCATTCCGGGCGGGTTATCACAACGCCCAATATACAACAATGAATTTCCGAAATATATACTGTAGGATATTATTTTGCATTTTGTGAGCTTTGATTTAATGTAAAATTTAACTTGAATCTCTTCGTAAAATGTTTTGAAATGTTCATGCAACTAAAACTACATTTGCCGATAAATTGTTTTTACTTAATGAAACATAATAAGTTTAAATTGTTAGGTAATTAATTTCAGTTCGATCTTCAAATTAATTTCCTCTCCTTTACATTCAAATTTGTTTCTTAAATTAAACGGTAATTTAGAGAACTTACAGCTTCGTTAGAAAGGAAACCATGTTTGTAGGCAAAAAGTTAAAGCAACAAAATTTATAAACATTAAATATTCAAAGCAACCTTGCCGTAATTTCACTATTTTCCATTGAGTAAATGAATTCTTCTCATTTCTTCGACCAAAATCGCTTCAATGCTCGTCGTATATGAATGATTTTCCAAAGTTTTGTCTTTGAAAATTTAAATATTTCTTATCCAACTCTTGGCAATCAGCCATATTTTTAAGATCAGTCAGGAGGCACTTTAGAGTTCACTAACGCTTTCCGTCCCTTCGGTAATTGCCGGGCGGAATTAGTACTATTGCCACGGGCTTACGCTCGGAACGCCGCTGAGCGCAGTTGAGGCTAAGCGATAACTTCTTACTCGATGTGTTACCATGGTTTTCATTATAATTTAGGAGAGCAATCATTTTTTCATGGCCACTCATTATTTCCAAATAATTTTCATGTCCCTCCCCCCTAAAGGATATTATTTATTTCCATATCCCCTCCCCCTCTACCAGTTTCCTTGGATCAGGGAATTTCCTGTTTAGCTCAAGTTATAGCACAGTACCCCCCTCCCCATATATTGTATTTTAGCGATAGATAATTGGACCTCTGCAGACGTTTGGGATTTTGCGTTAGTAAGTTTTATTAACTAGAAATACACGCATGTAGCAACCCCTCGTCTATACCCTCCAAACATTGATTTAACTTGAAGAATTATTAATTGGTAAACACCGAACGCATGCTCGTGTTTACGTCAGTGTTGCCATGGAATGATGGCAACACGAATAATTTTAATTTTTATTATATTTTTTGTACAACACGCCAAAAATAGTTGAAAGGTTACTGCTTTTAACTGTATAACAATGCATCTCTAAAATATGCACTGTAGTTATGTTGTTCTGCATTTTGTGAGCCTTGATTTAATGTAAAATTTAACCTGAATCGCTTCATAAAATGTTTAGAAATGTGCATTTTAATAAATATTAAACTTTTTTTCGATAAACTGTTTTCACTTTTAAATAAAACAAAATAAGTTCAAATTGTTGAGTAATTTCAGTTTGGTTTTCAAATTAAATCAATATGCTCTCCTTTACATTTTACCTTTTTTCTTAAATTAAACAGGGTAATTTAGCAAACTTACAGCTTCATTGAAAAGGGAAGCAGTGCATGATTGTTAAAACATGTCATATTTTACGCCATAAATTGAAGCAACCAAATTAATAAACATGAAACATTTATTCATTAGCCAGAAATACAGACATTTGTCCTTACTGAACTCACACTTTGATTTGTTGAACGTAATGTGTTTTTTCCGTGAGGTTTCGAAAAATGTTTATAATAATCTTTGCTCATGTTCTTGTTGATTCTTCCCTGTCACTAGTATATCGTCGCTAATGTTAATCACATTTTGTATAGGCCGTGTAAGCTCTTCTTTTATCCTGTTTTGGAAAATGTCGACTACTGACTTAGTCCCATAATTAAGCCAGTGAAAACAACAGGGCGTGTGAACAAAGGAAAGTGTCATAAAAATACGGAATATTCCCATCTTGTACTCAAGAACAAGTTCTTATTTAGCGGTATATTGAAGAAGATAATTATTTTCATGACAGATTATTATACCAGATAATGCAATGTCTTATTCTGTGAGGGCTGTCAAAATATATTTCGCCCGGCTGTTTATCCCCGGGAAAAGGAAAAGAAAGCATTAGCGAAGTCTAAAGTTCATCAATGATCGCGGGCGTGGTTGACCGTGCGTGGT